TTCAACTCCAGATAAGAGACCGTGGGTTTTTTGGCTTTGTGAAGAATTGATCACACTTGTGCTTTATTTTGAATGTACGTGGGTGATCAGGAGGCTCGGCAGAAGAATGACAAAACTTCTATCAGTTTTCCTAAAAAAAAAAGCCCAACAATACCTGACAGAGTCCCTTTCAAACATTATCCCAACAAACCCTATAGAAGATCATTTTCAGACCAGCAGTAAGTCAAAGGGCACAACTGATAGTATCTATTTCCGAGCGAGCTCCACATAACTGTGTGTAAATCTAGCTGACAGTACCGGCTCTGCCTAAACGCCAGGAAGCATCATCCATTACACTCCCATGGAACCCGTGCAATTGGGTTATCGGCCGATGAGATCTGCTGGTGCAGCTCCGGCCGCGACGTTAAAGATGAGGGGGTAGAACAAAAGTGACAGAGGGAAAGGGAATATCACAGCTAATTTCAGGAAATGCGATTGTGCACCGTACAATGTGGCTGGAGCGCAAGGGGAAGGGGAGGGGGGGGAAAGCGGTTCTTATCGCACACGAAGAGCTCATTTGTGAGTGAGATTGTTAGGGATTCTCTAGACTCGAATGGTGAGATAGGGAAAGCTTATGTTCATGTTTGCTGAGTGTGGGCAGGGCGCAGTTTTTAGCTCAGTCGGCTCAAGGGATTGCAAACTTTAGTCGGTGAAACATCACTGTTTCACGCTTATATTTAAATAAAATGCCTTGGAAGGATAGGCGTTTGGTACAGGCAGTCATGATCCTCAGAGAATAAACTGACTTTAGTCGTCATCCTACGACTTAGTGGAGCCTCTGGCAACGGAAGTATTTTATGACTACTACAACATCCTTATATGATGTTACCGTGCTACATATAACTCCTCCAACTGTTGTGCAAAGTGTGACTCACTGCAGGCTAGGCTATAACTATTAGCAACTGAACATACGGTAACCAGGAAAAAGAAAAAGAAACTGGATCGTCAAATTTTACATAACAAGCCTGTGACGATAAATTTTGCTGAATGACAGATTGTCCCAGAAGTTATTGCGATAAAATATATTGTTATTTTGAGATCACTTTGAAGTAATGCAATGATGTAATGGTAATGGCATAATAATAATACGATTTCAAAGTCAACTAATTTTCCATTCTAATGAACGTTTAACACTGGAACTGGAAGACATTTTAAATATCCAAAAATAAATAAACAAAAACATAGAGGCAACTCCTTAAATGAATCATGAAGTCTCTGTGAACAAAATTATTCTTAAAAAAAAAAAGAGCTATTTGAGGTCAAAACACCAGACTGAAGACTTTTACCATACAGATTTTGGTTGAAAGAGAATTCATGTGATTAACTGATTTATTGGTTATTTTGACAGGCCTATATAATAATTGATTTTGGGCACTGAAGTTGAAAATAAGTCTCCGTCTTCCACACGTTGGCTATGCACCCTACGTGGTTTGTAGCAAACATTAAATTTGACGTCTTACGACAGGAAAGTCTTGATTCAAGGGGTAGCTGTAAAAGTCATCTTGCAGAAACTACCTTTACTAGTAAGCGGTTTTGTAGCTGCACAATTAGAAAAGGCAAAAAAGTAGTATTTTTCTGAATGTTTCTCTTATAAAGCAGATGACTGCACGATGTTGAGATTGCATTCTTTTGCTTTAAACTGACAGACTTCTGGATTATTTTCTAAATAAGATAAAAGACCAAAGAAAGGTCATTTGGTTTTTGATGCAGGCATGTTTGGCTAGAAGCAAACACTTCATTTCAACTGACAAACACGGTGGGAGAAGAATGATGATGATGTGGCGCTAAGAAACCTACCCAGGTGACGTTTTGCTGAGACGGGACAGGTCACCCATCAGCTCAGTATATTTTATTCAGCAGTAGTAACGCTCTAAAATAGAACAAAACTTAAAAGAAGTCAAACGGCACAAACGTGATTAACTTTTTAAGAGTCGTCTGTCACATATTTTATGTGTGACACCATATTGACCCCACCGAGCTCCACTCCGTGCCGCTTTTGGCTCTGTAAAGCTGGAGTCTATTTGCGATGCGAAAACAACCAGGGTGGAGCCCAGAGAGGTCAGCGTCACGGGTTTACGACTGAGCTGCATTTTGATGTCAACTTAACCACACACTTGATCTGTACGACGAAGCAGACACCGGTCAGACACGGCCGTTTGTGTTCTTCGGCAACAGAGAGGACGAGAGGATGCATGTAGATCACAATGGGAGACGAGTTCGTAAAAGTGAAATGAATGATTCATGTTTAGTCTGGATCCACTGCTTGACGAAGAGGGGCTGGGTGAGAAGGTCCGACCGGCGAGAAAGGAGACTAGAGCAGTATTGGTCTGCCAGTTTGCAGAACATAAAATCTGGCCACTCAGGCTGTAAACAGTAATCCACTGGGGGAATCAAGGAAACAAAAGAAAATGAAAGCAATAAAATATGCGGTGCGGCGGTGGGGGTAGGGGAGGGCGGTCTGACTGCAGCAGAGGTGATGCAAAGGAGTCGGGCAAGGCAGCAGAGTAACATATTGGATTTTCCCCAAACATTTTTCAACCTAACTTTTTTTTTTTTTTTAGCTGTTGAGTCACTGCGCTACATTACTGTACTTCTAAAAAGGTCACCAAAGTTCAGGTGTTGTCTTCTTTTATTTTTTTCAAAGCTGAAAATAAAGTTCTCCGTTTTTCACTTTTTTTTCTTTTAGTGCAAACTGAACACAATGTTTTATGAGTAAAATATGCATAAAGGTGATATAACTCAGGGGATGAGGCAAGCAGAAGTAGACATGGGGGGAAAAAGGGAGAACGCTACTTTATAATCTCTTCAGTTAAAAATGCGACTTCCTCGTGAGTTTTTTTTTTTTTTTGCAGCTTTTGTAAAACACTAAATGGAAATATGGTAAGATACAAAGAGACGAGAAAACGTAGCTGGTTACATAATTTTAAATCGTTTGTAGCTCCCGCTTTGACTTTCCTTTGTGCACAAAGCAAAAAAAAAAACAAAAAAAAAACACTGAGACGCAGGCTGTTGCAGGAAAGAGGTTCAGCTTGTAAAGGGATGAGAGCCATAACTGCCTGGGAGTCAGTGCAGTAGGAAAACCACAGCATGAGAGTCGGGCTCGGCTGCAGACTGACAAACACACACACACACACACACACACACCTACGCAGAGGAGACGTATGGAATTACAGCATGCAGATAACACACACAGCTCTGCTAAGTCAATCCCAGATCTTTTCTCCTTTCTCAGCTCTGAAATCAACTTTACTACGCAGTCCTCTGAGACGCCTGCAGAGAATTTTCTGAGTAGAGCAAACCCTGGGAGTGAGAATGAAAACGGAGCATTAAAAAAAAAAGAAGAAGAAAAAAAGAACCTTTGTGTCCTGTAAAGTTTTCATAATTTCATGTGGTGCATGCTTTTTTTAAGAGGATTAAAAACTTGTTAAAATGTGATTATGAGCCTTGGCTCCATAGTTACAGTACGAGTCACGTATTCCACACACACCCCCAAAAGTACAGACGTGGATGTGCTTCAAGTGCAAAACAAAAAAAAAAAAAAAAAAAAAAAAAGTTCCCATATCCCTTAAAAGCTAGATGCATTCATTATTAATCGCCCCCATGAATAAAGAGGCTGTTTTTCTCTTTAAATGTGCTTTAAAAGCTGTTTAGAGTGAATTATAAGATAAAAAAAGACACACAGGAACAGGAGTTAAAGCTGACAGAGTAACAATGTTTTTCTTAAATCTGCTACTCTTACAGGCTGTTCTGATCCCTGCTTTTAAGCTCAAATCTCATCCCCTCTTTGTTGGTCTTTTTTTTTTCTCTTCCCAAAATAATCCCTTGATTACACTTGTTCTTTCATTAACTGCAGGCGTTTTCTGCTGAGCTGTGCCGCTCTCCAGCAATAACAGTAAAAGCGACTGGATGTTTATGTCGCTGTCGCCTGGTTACCCCCGAACACAAACCGACAAGATTCACACATTCGAACGGCTTAACGTATATATTTGGACACTAAACCATTCCAACACTCTTCCAGAACTCCTTATGCGTTTGGGTTGACTTGAAGATACGTGAGAATTAGGCCAGCTTTGCTCCAAATAGTGACATTGAGAGGAAAGTGGCTGACGTCCTTCAGTGCGAAGGTCACAGAGTTGACCTACCAGAATTTTCTAAGTGCTACGGATCAAGTTCAGCCTGGTTCAGGCCTTACAGTAAAGGGAAATAGGTGCATTATATTAAGTTAAATAAAAAGAGCTACAACAACACCTCTATAGCACATCTCAATAATGTATATGGGGTGTGGAAGACGGCTTGTCGCGAGGACACGTTGCAATTTATCCAGTTACACAACAAAATTATAAAACAAACTGATAAATTGATTTTATAATGTATGCCAAACTCACAAACTATTGTTGTAAATCTCGAGTTTTGTTTGATTGTTCGGGGACGTCTGCTGGGTATTATTTTTAAAGCTGTTGGTGATGGCAACCTTTCTATCTGTCAGTAAAGTAGCAGTGGGAGACAACATTTTGTTTTTAGCTTATTTGCTAAGCTACTTAGCTACACAGCTCCTTGCAGTAATTTTGGCACCATAGTTATTGTAATGAACACAAGCGTAAAACAAATGACACATGTATCCCACATTCTAGGCTAGCATATCTTTTTAGATTTTAACTATCATTTACGTTGATCATATCTTTTAAAAAGTGCAATCCTAGATATGCGAAAGGAGTAAAATTGCCACACTCCTAGCTCAGAGTACTTAATTTATGCTAGTCACCCATAATACTCCAAAATAAGTAGGATGCTTAATGTAAGGCTGTTTAGTGCTGGATCTCACATAAAACAACTAAAAACTCACACTGTGGTAACATTTAAAGTTGCTGCGTCATCCTCCTGCATTTCTACACCAGATTAACTATAAGATCCAAACCTGCACGGACCTGTGTGTGTTATTAGCGTGAGGTCTGAAGTCTTACTTTTCGTCCAGGTTGGCAGAGTTTCTAGATGAGAACTGGACAATCTCGCTGTTGGAGCTCTCCTTGTTATCTGCTGTGCCAGTGGCTCTGATGAAGGGGTCCCGCTCAGCAAACGAGGCTGCTGGTTTACTGCTGTTCTCCAGGTTCAGCAGGTTCAGGAAGGACTCTGCGCAGTCCACCTGGTTTGGGGAGAGGGGCCACGCGGCCGTGGAGGAGATGAGCTGCTCCAGGTTCTGATTGTACTGATTCTTCAGATTCAGGGATAATGATTTCGCTGATGACAATTGCGAACTTTGAGCCGTCTGTGGAGCATCTGGAGATAGACAGAGAGTACAACATGCTGTCCTCAGACTCAACGGAAAACACAAAAGGAAGAAGTTGACTACAAATCCAATGTTGGCTTTTTTTATTATTATTTGCTTTGTAATGATCCCCCACGGAGCTGACTCAGCCCAGAGAAGCTGGCAGGGTGCCACCCACCCCACTCAGGTCGTTTTCTATCAGAGGGGATGACATGATTAATACAAGCATGAAACACAATGTGACAAATTAAACTGCACACACACACACACAGAAAAAAAAAATGTGCACAGACACATCCATGCACACTGCACAAAGTGAAACGGTGGTTATTTCTGGCAAGATCAGCCATTTTCTTTCAATCTGGCGTAAACACAGATGTATAAAAAAAAAAGTTATGAGGGCCAGAGAAAACGGTTTTAAATCTTACAAAGCTCTCCCTTAGGCAGTACAAATTTACTCTGCACAGTTTGAAATGTGAAATCGTGTGAGAAAAGATCGGCATATAAAACGAAGAGGGAGTCCAGGAACACTTCTCGCACTCGGTTATTAGACCTTAAAAAAAGCGGCAACGTTGCAAAGTAAAACTCAGCTTTAAAAGCAACGCCTTCTCAGCAGATCATTTTGGGTGACATCAGCCTGAGCAGCAATCTGTGTTTACTGCTTAATTGATGGATGTCACCTTGCTAACATTCAGCTAGCACCGTGTTCTCTGTGCCTTGCAATTACAGTCTTTCTGTTGCTTTCATGGTGCACCAGCTACCAAAATCATAAGCTAGTGTAAAAGTTTCAAGACCTCAATTCAGTTCAGACTATTGGAAACCTTACAGTGTCAAAGATGCCAGGGATGCATGAGACATCTACATTCCCAACGGGGACGTTGCCGCTCACCTTGCCAGATATCGTCTACATTAGAGCTGTGTCTTTGTGCCAATCTGAAGGATGGTTTCTATCAAGAAGACTCTGTTCTCGCTTAAAAATAAGACCACCAAGAAACTGGGTTAAGCAGCACACTGCCTCCACTAGATCTTGTGTGTTTTACAGCAGGACGTAGTTGTTGTGATTCATGGTTTCCCCAGAAATAAAAATCAATTGAAGCCACCTTTAAAGTCAAGTCGGAGCCGATCTCAGGATTTTCTGTTTCCTTTTGTTCCATCAGGCCACGCTTTTGTTGGTAAAAGAGATTCTATCCGTTCTTCTTCTTTTTACAGAAAACAACAGGACTGATTTATTTTGAGTATTGTTTTTAGTTATGATGATTTTGTTTAGAAAAGTATGTTTGTTTTTCATCATATTCCTTTTGGGTTTTAAATGTGTAACCTTGCCAGCTCTTTTTTTTTTTTTTAAGATGCTGACTAGTTTCAATAATATGCTACTCTGTTAAAGAACAGACAATTTCTTTGAAAGTGAAATAAATTAATTTGAAACCATTAACAAAAATCCAACATGACAGACACCATAGACCAGCCTCCAGCATTAAACCATATTTGAATGGTATTTGCATTATTGCTTACTAGGTTTTTTTCTGCCAAACACTGGATTAACGTTTCTTTTTGTCTAAAATGCATCTTATGAACATGGCTTCCCTAAAATGCTGGGTCAGGATGAATCCGACATTTGGCTTGCATCAAAATATTTTGAAAAAAAATTGTTAAATTAATAAATGCAATTGGAAGGTTGATGGAAGCATATGAGACAGAAGTCTATCCAATAGTACAAACATGAATTCAAAATCTAATCTTCCAACTCAAACAACGGCTCAAAGTAAAATGCTTGGACATTGCCCGGCTGCCCGGCTTCTGTTTCGTTTTTATTATACACTAAAGAACCGCTTTTATTCTTTTTGTTTACTTATGAGAAAAATGAAAGGCTGTGCCTCCACTGAAGAGATATTTTTAGCAAAAATAATAGTAATAAAAAAAGCCCCGACCGTCATCAAGGATTTATGGGATTGCTCTTTACTTGTGCCTGGAGGACAGTTTCTTTCTCTTCTGAACTGATAAGTGGAATCCCGAAAGTAGCACTAAGGGAAAAGCCTTTGGAAGGGTGGACTCCTAAAACAGCCCCTGCACCAATAAAACCCGTCCTTCAAATCGGCAGGCGGCCACAGAGACCAAGTGAGGCTTGTGTTGCTGCTGTCTGCTTCACCCGCAGGCGAAGACGGGAGCGAGCGACGACGGCAGCAGCAGCTGAAGGAGCTGACCTGACAGTGTTTGCGCGACAGACTCCCGCTGTCCCTTCCGGTCGTCCGTCGGGTCACTTACCGTGTCCGTTAGCCTGAGTGTCCTGTCGCGACGGCTCTCCTTGCGCTCTCGTCGGGGAGCGGCCCTCCATCTCTTTCAGCTGCTGCACGAGCAGCGCCAGGTGCTGCAGCAGGTCCCTGTTCTGCAGCAGCAGCTGGTGGATGCGGGCCTGGGCCTCCATGCGAGCTGCAGTCTCTGCTGCCACCTGGTCCTTCAGCAGCTGCACCTGGAGCCACAGCAAAAGGCAGAACGAATGTGCTTGTGTGTGAACGTTATCCGTTGAAAATGGCCAATTTGATGATCTTCCCTGATCTCCTGTTGCGTCTCACCTCCCACCACATCCAGAGAAGAGCTCTATGGCTCTAGGACTGGAATGTTGTAAATATCTGATAATACTGACTGACTGAAATTTGGTACTTTGACATGCATATTAATTTAATGCAGCTTTCAAAGATTCAATTAATTGACATTAGTTATTTTCTGTACTTATTCTCGTTTCAGTGCTGCCCCCTATGGGTATAAAATCAACATCTGCTTGTTTTATAATTGCAGGTGAAATAAAACCTGAAAGATTTCAAGTGGTTAAACAGATTCAACTGGCAGATTCTTGATATAAAAAAAAAAATGAAAGTCCTTACTGATGATGCACATGGACTAACATCTAATGAAAGAAAGACTTAAACAACTTCTCAAAAGATTCTGATGGCTTTTAAAGTTACCGGCACAGAGATGCCACTGGGCATGTTTTCGACACAGAAAGTGGAGGAGGATGCATCAGACCCTTATTTCTTATTGCTGTTCAGATTATTGTTATATTGTTCAGCATTTTATGCCCTTCCAGTTTTTTTAAGGGCTCTATTAATAAAGTTGGATTGGATTGAATCTTGAAGCTACTGGTTCTGCAGGAACATCAAAAATATTGCTACCCATTCAGAGATGCATGCATCCCTCTTGACTCAGGGCCGCATAATTAGTCAATATCAATAATTATTGATTCGTTCTTCTGTTTTAAATATCTGAAATACTGCCAAACTGGTGACCTGACCTTTCCTGGTTTGTCTGAAGTTTTTACACCACGCCATTGTTTTTTACTCTTAAGCAGTTATGAAGCATGTGACTGCTGCCAGGCAAGTTACTCAACAGGCTGTTGCTAGGTAACCATAGACTGAGTGAGTTACTTGATGCCACACACCTTGCCTAGTTGGCTGTGAGATGTTGAGTGGCTAAAGTCTTTCGTCTGCCTACATCTCCCAGAATGCTGTGGGTTTTTGGATCGGAGTTCAGTGAAATTATTGAATCTTCTATCAGAAGTATTATCTACTGATATTGATTATGTCTCTATCATTATATATATTATTACTGATTTATTATTCAGCCCAAGGGTTACACTTAATGCAAAATTTCTAATCCCAAAACCAGAAAGAGCAGAATTGCTAAATTGTTCCTACTGTACACAGTAAGCAGAGTGAATGTGGCTGCCGCTGTGTGTCCTACCTGTGTGTGTGTGTGTGTTTGTGTGTGTGTCCTACCTGCGCAATGGCCACCTGAGTGTGCTGCTGTTGCTGCTGCAGCTGCTGCTGAAGGAGCTGCAGGTAGTGCTGAGAAGCCAGTGGAGTGAGAGACGAAGAGCAAGGGCTGCTGGGAGTGATGCCTTGAGACGTCACAGTGAAGACGGACCGTCTGTCGATGTCCTGACAAATATTATTAAACACAGACGGAGATCATGAGTGGTTTTCAGTCTTCTCTTTTCAAATCCCACAACTATTGGATATGCTGCCAGCAGAGTCTGCTGTGTCTAATAACAATAAACGGCTCAATTCAGGCTCGGTTTCAGATCGTACGCGTGAATACTCTGGTTCGTGCCTCTCCCGGTTTACCCCACGGGAATTTCAAAGTGATTTTCCAGATGATCTCCAGCAGCATCATTTTCCCTGAGGAAATAGTGCAGTCACTAAACCTGACCAGCCTTTTCTTTCACACCGCCAAGACGACTGGAGAAAACGAGTAAATCAGCATATTGTCTGGGATCCCGCTGAGAAACATAAGTGTGTAGTGAGAGAACATGCTTGCACAAAAACACATGGGATCTATATTTGCACCTCTTCTTCTTTCTGCTGGCACACAAAATGAGGCTATACAATTCTGTAATGCCCATATTCCACCACTAGAGGGAAACACAGCACAACAAAAACTAAAGCAAGCTCAATGCAAATGACTAAGAAGTTTCATACTAACACAGCCTCCTTAGCCTACTGAAAAAATATATATAAAAATTATATAAATATATAAAATGACATAAGTGTCACCAACTATACGACATTTCCTTAAAAAGCCTGAAAGCATATTTTCCAATTAGTCTATATAAAATAAAGATGTGCTAAAACCACAACTTTAGGCCAAATGTCTGACACATGCACAGAGTTCTCAGTGAGAAGTCCTAATTAGGATAACTTACTGTTCAACATATGTTTAACAGCCAGTGATTTAAAGTCCTAGTCCTGAGTTATCGCCACACAATTTTACTAATCCTTGTTTTAGGTTATAATTCCACCTTTTATCCAAGTCAGGCAGCAAAAGCTCTCTAAAGGAGGCACAAATTAGAGAAATCCATGTTAATTTCCAGAAGAATATTTTTTTTCCATATGAGAAAAAAAATAAAATACAAAATTTGTCCCACGCTCATGTGACACCTCCACGTCTGACACAAGCATCACTTCCATCACAGCGTTTAAGTTTTCAAAATCTCATTGTTCAATCCCCACATGATTCTCTGCTTATCTTCCAGAGCAGATGTTTGAGAACCCTTCAGATGGATTACTGTGACGTTTCTGAGAAATCAAAGAGAGCAGACGGGGGTTTTTGGGATTAGGTGTCCCCCCCCTTTTTTTCACAAGGCGAGCAGGAATATTCAGGTTCCCTGCACTAATCCCTGCCTGTCTTTTTGCAGTGTAATAATTCCATCTCCCACAGGGACGGCGTCCCGTCTGTCAGCGCATCAAACATTTACACCTTTAAATACAATGTGATCTATTTATCGGATGCTAAAGGAGCGAGGCGTTTTGTGCAAACGTTATCTGGTATTAATCAATGGAGAGCTGAGGGTAACGATCTTGTCAGATACTCTACAGTTGCTAAGCTTAATGAGCCATCTGGAAGCTCTGCGCTCAAAAAGCCGAAACCCGACATTGAATCGCAGGAGCAGAGTCAATATCCCGCAGCGACAAAAAAAAGCAAAATGCAGCTTGAGCCCAGGAAACCTGCAATCATTCAAACCAGGAAGATTGTGCTGCCTCACACTGCCGGCGTCAGAACTGACAGGAGGTGGAAGTGCAAAGGGAATAATCTGACACCAAAAAATGAACTTTATGACTCATTTTACTGCAAGATTTACCCACTAATGAGAAATACGGACCTGTCAGATGCTCTCTGTAAGAAAACTCAGAGCTGAACGACAATGGAAAAGATCGAAAGACCATAATAAGCGAACAAAAAGCTTGGCGAGAAAGTCACAAGAGTTCAAAAATTGGGAAACAAACACAAATATATTTAACCTCAACTGCCAGATTTCACACAACGACATACAATGCAAAAGTTAAAGGTTTTAGAACGCATCAATTCTTCCAGTTTTATTAAAATTCAACTTAGTTATTAGGTAGGTGGACCAATTCTGAACATACCTATACAAATATGTCTTTTTCAGGGAACAAGATATAAGTTAGTGACTTAAAAAGGTTAATTAAGCCTTCAAAGGTGATTCTACCAGAACGTACAGGCCAAGCTGTGCCAGAACTACCTTGACCAGAACAGTCTCCAGATTTACTTAAACCTTATGTAGGTAGTTTGGGATGTACTAGACAGGAGATTGAGAGCAAAGGAACCTACAAGAGCCACATGTTTACAGGAACATTTGCCAGTAGGTTTTATTTAGGGGTATCGGAGTTACAGGTGCAAAATCCAAAGACACGGTCCTGAAAAAATGTTCACAAGTCAGGAAAGGATTAAACTGTGTATTTTTTGTGTTGTTCTACCACGTAAATCCCTAATAAATTACCTGTAGTTTGATGTTGCTACATGAAAAAGGGGAAATGTTCAAGGGGTACGAATCATTTTGCAAGTCTTTTTTACATGGCTGTTCAACATAAAACTCGGTGCAGAGCCACAGACGAGCTGAAACTGTCTACAGCAAATATAATATATTAAAAATGTTTACGTTTTAGCTGAATTCTGTTGAGAGCAAATACTTTTTAGGGGTTGTTTTTCCAGCAGGTTTACATTAGTGACATCTTTTTTATTTATTTTTTTTAGTTGGCCTACAGTTTTAAAGGCATTTTGTTAGAAGCAGGGTCTTTAAGTGCAGACTAAAATGGTTTGTAACATAAAATCAATTCCAAACTTTACTGTCGCCAGTTTTCCTACTTTGTTCTACAACTCAGCAAAGGTTATATCTTCCTAGGGATTTTTATGGCAGACTAAAGGGATTTTCCTTGGCAGACCATTGCTCTGTTGCTTTTAAAGTAGAGCCACATATCTTTAAAAATGTGCACTCTTGACTGCCTGGAGAGCACCTGAGAGCTGCCGTGGCTGGCCTGCAAACAAATGCGTTTTAAAAACTGATTTAAAAATTGTTCAATTCATTTAGAGGGACACTGAATCCCCAAGACCATGTGTTGTATCTGAAAATACAGTAAAATAAGTACTGATCTACAACTATCTGCTCAATTTACAAAGCACATAATTCTAAAGCACAAACGTTAAACCCGCTAATACTGAAGCATCAGAACGACACAGCTCTTATTTCAGTTTACGTAGCTCTACTGGTTCAAGGTGCGACAGCGCGTCCTTGAGCTTCTCACCATGATTGTCTGGCCTGGTTTGACCACGTTGAGTTCAGCCAGGCTCTGCAGGATCTCACCGACTGCCTTCTCGCACAGCAAACCGTCAATCGAAGGATCTCCTTCTCCTCCTCCTCTTTGCCCTCTTTCATCTGTATCCTCGTCCTCTTCATCCCGCTCACTTCCTGTGAGTTTACGAGCTGTAGAGAAAGAAAAAAAAAACACACACACACGCGCACACACACAATACTCCACTTTAGGTGCTATACGTGCAAATGTCTGGCTGTAAATTATTCATTAAATTCGTATTACACATAGATGGCATGACGGCTGAAAGCTATTCTTGGAGCAAACAGTAATTTATCCAGACGTGATGAAGAGCTTTTCGATCCCAGGGAGCTGCGGACTCACTGCGTAAATTACAGTTATTAGCTCAGATGAGTTTCAGCCCACAGAAACTGGTTTGTTGTTTTCTTAAGTTTGTGCCAAATCCTGCTTTACCGGGCACCGGTGCTTTTGCTGTAGGATAATTGATCAAAATTAAAAAGCTGGTAAGGTTTGATGGTGACATCACCTACAATAAGGCATGGAAGTGTAATCTTAGAAGCCCCAGTCAAATTTACTTGCAGAAATCAAATATTTGGAGGTTGAAGTGCCTTGTAATGATAAATGCATGGTAATTCAATCAATCTTATGTTAATCGTAAATTGTCTGGTTTCTAGTATCACAGTGTATTAATTATAATAACAACTCTCTTGCAGAATCATCTGCAATTAAGATTTGAAATAACATAAAACACAATTGGACGCAAAATAAACCAAGCATCTAAAGACATTTGGTTTTCTCTGCTGTTTTGTTCCACTGAGCAGCTGGAGTTTGAAGAAATGAAAAGTAATTTAATCCACAGCTTCCGAGGTTGCAATAAATATAACACCTTTAATCTCAGTCTTCTTCTTCCGATTCTGCCCGAGACTGAAACAGAAAGTCGACTCTCGCCCCCCAGGAGGTTTCATATCCAGGTCAGATCGCTGCAGCGAATTATGCACAAACAAGAAACTTTGGGCTCATTGTTATCATCGACACACCAACAAACAGCAGGTAGATGCCAGAGCTGACAGATTCGGGATTAATCATTGATGGTGAATTGGATGAGAGCTAATTGTGTCACCACATGTGTCAGATGTTCCCAACAGGTGCCCGGCATCACAATGAAATAATCCACAAAGTTTGACAACTGCTGCACTTCTTTTCTCGTGGGACGAAAACAAATCCGTAAAATACGAATTTATGTAAGCATTACAAAAGCAAATCCTTCAAATTAAAGAGAGAAACCCAGAGTTAGACTTCAACTTTTCCCAGCTTTGAACTGTCTCTTGTTTGTTTTAATTATAAAACGTCTCCAGCAAAGAATCTCTCTTTTTTAATTTTTTTATTGTTAGATTCGCACAAATTCTGAGTTGTGTTTTAACTAGATGCTGCTCTGCTCTGTACATTTCAAGTACTGGCTTCTTCCTCGCTAGGCGGCCTTTCAGCCGGCGTCAGTTCAGAGAACAACAAGCCTGCAGGTGGAGACGCTCATTCGCCAATCTGCACACAGACCCATCCAAGAATTTCCAGTCATCCTCTCCATAATATAAATCCTTCTTGGCTTTTCTGTCCCTTTCCTCCTCCGCTGGTAATTTCACCAGACGAAGTTAATCTTCCGGCAGCCGGAAGACAGCACCTTGCATTACAGTTTTCAGCCCAAAGGGATTCACGAGATCTCATCGTCGGTGTGTTTTTCCTGTGCTCTGTTACAGAAAGCGTGTCCTCACCGTGGCTGCTGGGCTCTTCCGTCGACTTGTCGCTATCGCCGTCCGCCTGTCCGTCGGCGTACTGCTCCTGCTCGACGTGCTGCAAACTCAGCTTATGGCAAACCTCAAACGCCTGACCCACAGTTCGCACAATACGCATGGCCTGAGTCTGAGAGGGGGGGAAGAGTTAGTTCACAGCTAACGTGGAGAAAAGTGAGCAGAATATCTGCTGCTTACACAAAAGAGAAGCAACACAGAAACACATTTTACTATTCGGTTATCTTTTTTTTTTTGTCAAAAAGAATATAATACCACTTATATATGGAACAACTGAGCCAAGATAATGTATGGCAGACATAAAGGAATGTCTCAAAAGAAGAAAAGGACAAGATGGTTTTCTAAAATGTGCATTTGTACTCGTCCTTTAGTGCAGCTCGTTTGTATTCACTGCAGGCTATAATTCTAAGTGGGTGAATATTAACTAAGCCAATGAAAATTGAGTTCAAGATCCAATTTAAAACTCAAAATGGATAGCCGAACCGCCATGAACAGAAAATGAATTTCGAAAGGAAACTAATATTAAAATGAAAGAAAATTAAGTGCTGTGGAAAAAAAGTATTTAACCCTAACAGATTTCTTCTATTTTTGCCTTTTTCCTCCAACTAAAATGTTTCGGATCATCGGAAATAATTATAACATTAGAGAAATAAATATATATAGATTTCAAATGACTTTATTTAATCGTTTAAAAGAGCCATCCAAACCAACATGGGTTTGGATGACGTGATTAATCACATTTTTTGGTTCAAATTCACTAGAGGTACCGACACCTGATGACTGCCAGACAATTACAATGGAAATACATAAACAACATAAACAGGATAAAAGATCTCAAAAAGAAACGCATCATAAACAAGAAAGGAAAAAAAATGGGCAAATAGTTCATAACTGGACTGCATAGGGTGTTTTTAATTAGCAATGTTTATCAGTTTTTCAGTATTTTGGTGATTTCCATATACTGCAGTCTTCTGCAGCCTGTGGGTTTTCATCTTGACAGAGCATCGTCCATTTTTGTCCCATCAATAAGCACCCAAAGGTGTGATTTCTCTGCAATCTGCACTTACTGAGGAATAGACCGAACTGTACCTTCTTTTTAGATTTGAAGACATTACATCTGAATGAATTACTGGAGCCGTCTCTTGCAATGTAGCTGAAGATCTTCAAGTCCTGGGAGTCATGCGATACGTAGAAAATCCTGGAAATGATGACAGCAGTCTGAAGTCATCAGTGAAATAAAATCGTCAAGATGATCCGCAAAGCTCGTTGGCACTGACTTTTAAATTGTCACTAATAATAATGACTTAACCAACAGTGAGGAAAAGTGGGAAAAGTTTAACTTTTTCACTTTACATAAAAAAAAACAAAAAAAACATAATCCTGTTCAGCCTGCAAGTTGGTCCCAGTTTAAGGTCTTTGAGGATTGACACTGGGTTAGATTAGATCATGTTCATGCCCAGTTCAAATCTAAATCTCATTCTGAAGCTACAGTAAGACATAAAAAATATTAAGTTCAGAAATCCTTTCCATCCAATCCGATTGATATTCAAACGAATGGACAAAATCCAGTCACAAGGCTGGATTATTCAATCAAATAACTCAGGGAGGGAAGAATGCAAATAGACACTCCAGATTTATGTATTGGCATATCATTTACAGTAACAGGTCCAGGTCATTTTATGTTTCTGACCAACTATGTAAAGCCATAAGAGGAGATCTTTAATCTACAATTGAGTTTTCAGCTTACCTGTATATTGGATCATGCATGATCAGCATCTTGTTCTCATCCCATGTCCATTCTTTTCTCTGTGTAAGACAGAAATCAGCATCGTCAGACATAGATACAGAGTTATAACTTCAACTAGTAGAGTTTTCCGGGGATGTGAGACCTTCTGCTTTTTCCTCAGTGCCACCTTGACTCCGTCCACAGACACCACAATGCTGACCTTCTTCTTCTTGATGTTCTTGGCTTTGAATTCGTACTGGAAAAGAAAATCAAAATAGGTGCGAGTTATCAACACAGGAAAACTGTTGGTTGCACTACGTTCTTTTTAGGGGCACCAGAGTAAAGGGGAATAAACATAAATCTATCCCTTCCTCTTTGTAGTTCTGCATTGGTCTGACACATAAATCCCAATAAAACACATTAGAGTGTGTGCTGTTAGTGGGAAAGGCACCATACTTTTGTAAGCAGGCATTTGCTAGACCTGGACACATTGACACCAACACTTCTTACTGGACAGAGTAAAATCCTGGTTTTGCCAGGAGATCAATCAAGAGAGCAAACACTTCAAAATAATATTTTTGCTAAGAAAACTGAGTTGTTTTCACAAAAATCTCATAAGAAAAGAGGCTGTAGAGCTACCTAATGTTTTCTCATCTAGTAAAGTGAACCATCCAAGCCGTGTGATTATCCTTGTTGTGCTTGCTTAGTGCAAAACAAAAGCTGTGCATGCACTTAACACGTTTCCCTCTCGTCAGCTAGCCTCAAGGTCTGCTGAGGCACCATGCATGTCTGCTCCGTCGCCTCAAATCAGCGGCCAATTTAAACAAGAAGCACTTAGGCTCCTTCTAGTTGCAATCCAGGAAGGCGTACAGGGGGACTATCGGAAAACATGAGCTAAAGCCGGTCCAATTCAGCTGAGAGGAGGCTGCTTTGCTTGGGGACTAGACTGCTGAATGCGCATTTAATGAACACGTATTTAATGTGATGAGAGGTCGGTTTGTTCTCATGTTTCTCCTGTTTGCTGGTAGCAGCAAGTCAATGTCTTAGCTTCGTTGTAAAAAACTGGGCAGAGAGAAACTAGCGAGTGTGTGTATCTATGTGTGTATCAACATAAGTGGTAGCCAAGCTGCTCATGAAGAGAGTGGGAATGTGCATTACACCAGGGAGCAACATTACAAGAGCGTGGACCTTAAATATTAACCATGATGCACTGCCTCTGCTGCAACACCTGCACACCCAAACTAAAGTTTTAGAACAAGTGAATACACTTTGCAACAAAAGGATAAAATCCTCCAGTTAAAAGGCGAGCTGCTGGGAAAAAAAAAACAACAAAAAAAAACAGGCCCATATTCTTGGCTGAACTCTCAAAACTACTTTTAACAATGTTTGCTAGGGTTTGTTTTTTTTGAGTGGCTAGAGAGAAGATATAACCTGCATCGTTACAGCTAAAAAGGTTTTAAAAGGAGCTTCAAACTTTTTTTGTTTTGTTTTGTTTTACTTGAAATGGCGATAAAAGGTGATTGTCAGTCGCTATGGCTGTTTTAAGAACAAAAAGCCTGTGTGTGATAAGGCTGGGTTTTCAAAACAGAATTTCTTCTGAAGCCGTTGTGACCTTAATTCCATCAATTTGTAATTTAGTTGCAATATCACATCAAGCTACATAATAGTTTGATGGTCACTTTTGGAGGTGATAGTGGACAATACAGTAATTTGCTGTTGCTAGCTGTCAGCTAGCTTTACTTGGGTAAAGTGCCTTGCCTAGGGGCACATTGACATGCAACTGGAGGTTGTTGAAATAAAACCCACAACTTAAAAAGACAGGGACGCTTTTAATTTATTTTTAAGATTAAGTGGCTGCTTAATTGCCTGCCACTTTTTGGTTTTACACTGATTATGACAATGGCAATATAGTCATACTGCTACCGACAACCTTTCTGATCTCCAAAGGAAAACAAAACAAACAAAAAAAAAAACAAAACTGCTGTATCGTAAATGTTATGAAATGACAATAAAAGCCAAATTTGAAGGCTCGGTATCAGATGTGACATATACAGCCGATCCATCTACAGTAGCTTTAAAAGGAAAAGTCTCACTTGGTAAATTTGCACTGTACTGTGATGTCCAAAACTGTCAATTTTGATTTCAGTTCTTTCACAACAAAAACTATGCATGGCTTAGTTCACAACATTTTTTCAGGACTTTAAAATAAATGCATCTTACATAAAGCATATGGAAATGCAATATTCTTGTCAACTATTTCATAACATTTCCAATGACAGACTGCTTTTTAAAATCTGAAAGAAGGAAGTAAGTCATGAAAACTGTCGGCGTCTGCAGGGCCTTGTTGGATATCTGTTGTTGCGGCAGGCGTTGTGTCTGGGAGAATAGCCGGTGCTATAATTAACAGGTGCTATGCACACATACTGTATGTACTGTATGTTAAAATGTGCAATAAACAGTTGGGCTGTGCTGCATCAGTGTGAATAATTTCCCCAGGAGCTTTACTATGCAAATGAGATGTTGCAGCGAAATAAAACAAATGTCATCACGGAGACCATGACCGCTATAAGAATGAAGAATAAAAGCGATGATTGGAGGTTAGAAGAGCTGACAAAAGAGGCGGGGTACCATCATCATCATCATCATCAATGGATCTCCTGGGAACGGCAACCTTCCCATTCAGCCGCGTGATGCTGCTATGCAACAATTAGCTCAGCATTATGTCAACAAGGCCCGTCAGAAGCCATTAGAGACGGCTATTGTTCTGTTTTCTTGTGTAACGCTTGGATATGCACACTCTGTTTGAACAGACTGAGAGCAAATAAATGGCTTAATTTACCAAAGCAGTTTTGTAGCTGCACAATGTTTTGCTTGCATGTTCATCATCTGCCTGTGTCCGCTTTAAAAGCTGGGCTCTCCCTGGCCTGAATCCATGGTGATTAAAGTTTCAGTCGCTAATTATCCAGACCTGAGTCCTGGGAGAGCTGATTAAACGGAAAATAGGAGGGGAGAAGCAGAAACACACCAGAGACACTAAAATGGAGTAAAAGGGAGAGCTAACATGTCGAGAAGTGAAGTGCTGTTACCGTAAGATGAAAAGGAAAGTTTCAAAAGTGAAATTCAGATTCGGTTGTCTTTATTACTGGAAGCTGATGAAGCCAATGAAAAACACACTTCCTGTGCTGATCCGGTTCTTTACCTGGAGCTGCTAATGAGCTGACCTAATTCAGAATAATCAGTTTTGTTTGTGGTGTCAGCTTCCAAAAAAGATGACAGAAACATCAATCTATTAAGAATCTGAGTGTAAAGAAAAAAAAAGACATTTTAATGCAAGCAGTGCTTTGGGGGAAACCTTTGATCTGTATCCTTTGCACTTTAAACAATTTTCCTGCTCTTTCATCAAGTATGCCACTTATAAATCCCCCTTTTTGATTTGAGGATTTCCTCACATCCCAAAGTTTGACTCATGAACTTCGTCTCTCCAAGTCTCTTGGCATCTTATAAAAAGTTTCCAACATCAAATTTTTCAACAAAATGTTTCAATGCCCCAAAACCAAGAGTGGTTATTTTAGCCACAGGGGGAGAAACAACAACAAATAGCATCAATGTAAAATTGCTAAATGGTTTTCATATGAAAGTTAACCCTCACCATGTTAATGTTATGTAAACCCTCAAAGCTGTACCAGCTCTGTGGCCTGGTCTGAAGTCAGCAACAGCAATGAAATGTAAAACATGGTGTCTTTTTCAAACAGGCTAATGTTGCTATTATAGTGTCTGAATTTGCTTCAGTATTTGTGTCAGAACAAAAACGCAGCTTTTCCATAATTTAAGCTTCATTCCAACATTACGCAGAAGCAAAATTCAATTTTCAAATTGCATCTGAAAGTATGAAATTTTTATCATTTCTTAAGTGCAAACATTTGTTAAATATTTATGCTTCTGATGCAATTATAGTGTAAAAACAACAAGAATGCAATCGGCATCAGATGAAGGAGAAAGAGGATTTTAATCCCAATGGGTTTTTATCCTGGTAAAATAAAGGTTAAATAATTCTTTCTTTTTTTTTTTTTTTAATAACGTCAGCAAACCCATGAAGAAATAAATGCTAGGTTTAAGCTCTGCTTACTCCACTGTGACAGTTGAAGAAACCCTCTGAACTGCAATAAAAATATTTAGGGTGGTAATTACAGGCATGCAAACGACTTTGGCTTCCAAGTTCTAAATTGCTCTCTTTAAAAGATTTGTGCAAAAGCCGCAAACTGAGCCCAAAACCCACGGAAGTGACTCTTGCTGTGGTACATGAGTGCAGGAGCTTAGTGGAAACAGACTGGGGGTATTTATTTCAAATGCTGGCTGACACCATTAGGGCCGTCAGCCTCATCAGTCTTTTGATGCATTTCCATCGCTGCTCCTCTCTACAATGTATTATGAAAAGTGTCAAAGAGAATGGTGATTGCCGTTGTGTGCACTGAGTGAGGAAAGAAAACTGGCTCTCATTACAGCGGCCTGGGTTATGAGTTATGGCCTGGCAGTTTAAAAAGAGACACAAACATTTAACAGGAGACCATTCTGTTTCTATTTGTCATTCTGAAGCAAATTTAAAAAAACAACTTGTAGTAGCTTATTTCTGCCTCGTGGCCGTCCTGCTTGCCTGCTGTCCAAATGTTTCCGATGCTTTAAATGTGCGCAGCATGTCTTTGCCTGCATGGGATTTTGCTGAGCAACAATTACCCCTTACACTTCATAATGGATGCATGCTCATGACTGCCCCCCAGAGGTGAATATGGGGTGTGATACTGGTTTCCAGTCCATGTCAGGACCTACCAGTGGGTTCCACTGTGAAATAAACACGTGTAGGTCATGGAATGAAAGGATGATCCGAAAGCGGCTCGTCTTTTCAGCACTGTTGGTACTGATCAGAAATCAGCCGGGCTGCCAAACATTCACAAACACCTTTTGTTGCCTCAACATGATATTGATGTTAGTGCCAATATATCTTGCATCCTTAAACTGGCATGTTTAACCAAATTGTGTCATATGTGATGCAATCTTTTGCAACCAAAGCTGACACTAATGATGCATTATTCCTGAGAGTTACAGCTGTTAATAAATTAAGACAGTTGCATTAGTCCTTTTTTGGAGAGTTAATGTCATAAGCAATCCAATTTGAGTCGTTAAAGTGTCTGAACGCGATCCAGTCCTCCACAAAATGTAAAATAAAACCAGTGATTTAATAGACAAGACATAAACAGATGT